CCACCCCAAATGGCCAGTAGTCCATTGGATAAGGTACTTACTTGGCATGTTGGAGACCCAAGTTCAAGTCCTTAGTATGAACCAGCAAAAGCCTCAGGTGAGTGTCCGAACCTCTGGGCTATTGGCTTTCCTGGGGTGAGTCTGGTTTTGCTTGTTTGTTTTTTGTTGGGTGAGTGAGAAAATATTTGCAAGGTCGATTTCAAATGCAGAAAGGGAAAACTTGTTGAAATCTTGAAAATTTTCCTGGGACAGGAAAACCATTTCCTGCATGACTCAGACTTCTAGGGGTGCATCCCCTTGTTCTTTGTGCTGCCATAAGATGAGCCATTTTATGATTCTTCCCAGTGAATTATGGGTGAACTCGTCTGTCCTTCTGTACACACACAGTTAATTGTGAGAAGGCATTGGAGGACTATCACCACTCAAGTGATTTTTAACCTGGATTCATGCTGCAAAGTGAACATACGGAAAGGTGGAACACAAGCTTGAACCCACATGCCCAGCTGTGCCCGCTAGCCTGGTCAGAGAGCGCTACTAACCCCGGTGTGTGGATGGGAGAAGGATTAGGACCAATACTGGTGTAAAAGCCTGAATTAACTCTGCAGTGAAGACATACCCTTAGAGATAAAACTGCATTTCCCCTGCCTGACCCCTACATTCAACACACTAACAACATATTAGCTATGTGGAGTATGCCATTGTTAGGGACAATATGCGGCCATCTTACAGTACCCTCTTTTTCAGTAAATTGGCTAAGATAAATACTTCCATATCCCTTACTGCATTGCACTGGCTTTCCCACAGAAATCCCTCTTTAAACCATCCCTGACATGATGCTTAGGCAGTGGACAGGAAGTTTATTCTTCCTTATTATGCCAAGTAGGATTGTTTCGCTGTTACTTTGTCCTTCTTGTTGGTCATCTTTACCTGTTGTATTTTCTCATCTGTTTAGACTGTAAGCTCTTTGGGACAAGCACTGTGTCTTTGTACCATTCATAGAACAATGGGGTCCTGATCTCTGATTGTGTCCAATAGATGCTACCACCCTATAAATAATAATCCACGTGATGGAATACCCTGGTTGTCTTTGACAGAAGAGCCACTGTTGACAACAGAAAAAGTGATGTAGAGAGTTTGGGTCCTACCGTGGGCAGAACTTATTTTGTAGCTGGCTCCCAGATGCTGTGGGTGTATTAGAATATATAGACAGAAAATGAATAGGAAGATAGGGGGAGGAATTGGTCACAGTTTAGTGTGAAAAGTGCTCACACAGCAAAGCCTTTTGTGTTGGTTCCTGTGTCATTTTGGAAACCAAAGTTATTTCCTTGTTTCTCTTATTCTGGTCCCTATGTTACCTCAGCACAGCAAACCTTCTTAATGTTAGGTTAAGATTTCAGGTTTCAGATTTCATGAACTAGCTTTGATTTCTACCTGTAAAGCGCAGAAAAGGTGCTAGACACTAGAACTGTGGCTCACTCACAGCCTAATTTTGCCCTTCTTTCTTTATATTGCTGCTGAAGGAGAGTATGTATGTGTCGTATATACAGTGGATGTCAATCTCATCTCAAATATTGGACAGTTAATAAAATACGGATAATGTAAGATAGTCTTATTGAGAGGTCCTGAATAATTTCCCTTTATTGATACAGTTACTTGGAGGGGTTGTTCATTGAATTGCTGAGGCGTGCTGTAAAATACACGTTTTCAAGCACACTTACCGCTTCACTTGGAAGAGCTGGAAAAAATTCTTTGTTTTTAATCCACTGGCTCCCTCTGCTGGTATGACAGAATTATAGTGTATGGTTGCTGGTTAGAAGAACTGATTATACAGAGCTAGAGGCAAGAGAAGAAAATGGCTCTGCAAAGAATTGTATGAAACTTTTACTTGATCATGACACAAGTGAATCAGGGGCACTTCCTGGCTCCTCACCCCTTACTTTAGCACTACACACACACAGGCTCATTCAGTCAATAAGAGTAATGAACATAAAGAAGAAAGGGGAAGTTAGGCTGTGAATGAACCACAGTTCTAATGCACAGCACCTCTTATTCAAACAGGAATTAAACACTGGTTTTGAAATATTGAAAATAATGTTTTATAAACATTGCATTAAAGTTTTATTTGTAGTTAATCACCAGGATGTCTGTACATACCATAACTGAGTAGTCATATGATCTTATTACTCTTGCCCTTCACTCCCTGCTCCCCATTGTTTATTTTCACTAGTTGTGTCACATTTTAAATGCTTTATTTGTTTATTGCAGTGTTTCCCAAACTTGGGACGCCGCTTGTTTAGGGAAAGCCCCTGTCGGGCCGGGCCAGTTTGTTTACCTGCCGCGTCTGCAGGTCCGGCCGATCGCGGCTCTCACTGGCCGCGGTTCGCTGCTCCAGGCCAATGGGAGCTGCTAGAAGCGGCGGCCAGTATGTCCCTTGGCCCGCGCCACTTGGCAAAGGGACCGAGTTCCCTCTTGACCCGCTGTAGGCATTATGCCAGTTGCCCTTTGCCTTGGGGGTTGGGAGGGAATTTGTCCCTCACCCTCAGATTGGCCAAGACAGAATTTTTTTTTCCACCTTCCCCACAGCTGATCTGGGACCCATTGGGGTGATGTAGGGGGTTGGGTTGTAATGTTGCAACTTAGTACATAAAACTTGTTATTGATGTCCAGTGCACGTACTCAGTATGGAAAGGATAGTTATCAGATAAAACGGATTGGAAAAGGATTTGAAGGAAAATATCCCTTAAGGAAGCAGAGTAGGGGTGTTTGGGGCTCCTATGTCGTGTACAGCGGGAAGCTGTCCTTTTCTTAATCCCTTTTAGCCCCCTTTCTGGGAACTGAGGAAGAGGGTTTGGTGCTCCTGCATCTGGATCAGCAGAAAACCAAATCCTCTCCTTCCTGCACTGTACAATTTGTTCCTGGGTACTTCCAGGTATTATAAGTGAATAAAGTTGTGGCCTAATTAAACCACATTCATTCCCCTTCCTCCCTTCCCGTCTTTCTTCAGCCAGCTGGACAATTGTGCTTTGACTTAATTAAGTTAACACAGTGGTCCCTTCTGACCTTAAAGATGTAGAGTGAAATCCCCACTGAAATCAATGACATAAATCCTATTGACTTAAATGGGGTTAGATTTTACCCTGTGAAATGATGACTATTTTTAGTATAATTTTTATGAGTGACACTGTTAAAATTTCACAAAAACTAAATGAAAAGTTATAGAGTTTTTGGTGACTGAATTAGCAAAGTTGAGTGAAAAATTGCACATTGTTTTTGACTTTGTGAAAAATGTGTTACTTCAGATTTTTCTCCTGCTGAATCTCCAGGGTTGCAGCGGTGCTGCATTGGCAGTGAGATGCTCTCTCTAAGAGGGTGAAATAGTTTACGTTGTGTCATAGATGCTGTGGAGTTTACTACATGTTAAATGGGGGGGGGGGAGTAGTCTTAATTCATTGCTGCCTTGCACCTTTTGTATTCATTTACACCAGTGCAAAGTAGATGTAAATTGCTACCATTCTGATTTGATAGCATTTCAAACCCACTTTGCACTAGTGTAAATGGCTACATAAGGCAATGGTGAAACAGGTTGTGTGTGTGCAAAAGACGCACATTTCAGGATATATGTAGTGCTGAAACTGTGTGGATGTGGTGCTCTCTGGGATGTACCCCAAACTTAACTGTTTCATTTTCTACAGACAAATGTGTGTGACACATACGTGCTGTAGCAGTGGTGAGGGCTGCTGCACAATCCCCTGGGTAAAGCATGCAAGTGAGAATAAACCACATGAGAGTCACATCACTTAATACGCTGGTGGAAGACGCTCAGATATTATGATGATAAGGGCAGTGTAAGAACCGGCACCAAAGAGAATAGAAGCAGAAGCTGTTCTGTGGTTTGCTGTCTCCACAGTCTTTCAGTTTTTATGAGCACTAAATTCATGTAAAATTAAGGCCAATCTTTTTAAGTTCTTGTTCCTACTGCATTCTTAGGAGTCTGGTTCACCATCTGTGTACATCAGTGGTTCTCAAACTTTTATACTGGTGACCCCTTTCACATAGCAAGCCTCTGAGCGCGACCCCCTTATAAATTAAAAACATTTTTTAATATATTCAACACCATTATAAATGCTGGAGGCAAAGCGGGGTTTGGGGTGAAGGCTGACAGCTCACGACCTCCTATGTAATAACCTTGCGACCCCCTGAGGGGTCCCGACCCCCAGTTTGAGAACCCCGGTGTACATCTGCTATGCTGCAGTTAGCAAGCTCTTGGAGTTGAAAATAGTTTAACTTGTATATGCCCATTCAGTTTGTTTAGGATTACAAAGATCTAAATTTCCATTGAGCTCAAAGGCCTAGTCTGGGCCATTTCTGCTTTCTGTGATGTACAAATAGGTTGACATTTGTCAGTGAAATATCAGTTTTAATATATGTATCGTCTGATAGAGTCCAGCGGTTCTTAAACTTCATTGCATCGTGACCCTCTTCTGACAACAAAAATTACTACCCGACCACAGGAGGGGGGACCAAAGACCAAGCCCGCCCAAGCCCCACCGCCCCGGGTGGAGTGGGGGAGAGAGGGGTGGGCAAAGCTGAAGCCCAAGGGCTTCTGCTCTGGGCAGGGGGGCATGTAACCTCGGGCTTGGGCTTCAGCCCTGGGTGGTTGGGCTTGGGCTTCCGGCTTGCAGGGGCCCAGGGCCAACACCAGCCTTGACAACCCCATTAAAATGTGGTCACAACCCACAGTTTGAGAACCCCTGTGATAGTCCAATTTACTGACAAGGGGTAAAGGACTGGGAGTCAGGGCTCCTGTGTCTGATTTCTGATTTTGCCACTGACTTGTTATGTGACCGTGGGTAAGTCAATTAACTTTTTTCTTCCTTAATTAAGCTTAATTACAGTTTGTATTGTAAAGTGCTTTGAGGTCTGTAGAAGAATGGCTCTATATAAGAGCCAAGTATTACCAGTGCTAAAATTAAAGAGGTCTTGTTTTCTTTTGCTAACAGGTACTTGGAACACCAAATGAAGATACATGGCCTGGAGTCCATTCTTTACCCCATTTCAAGCCAGGTAGGTTTAAACAACAAGTAATCAAGATTTCACTCTTTCCAGGAAAACATATTAAAAATCTTACGTGCTAGCTGACAGAAGGGTTTTGAGACAATGCTCCTACGTTTTGGCACGTTTACTTACTTACTAACTAATGGACTTCTGCAACATTGTTTCAAAATAATCAGAATAGTTTTGCAGGATAGTGGATGCATTGTAAGCATACTGCAGTGCATTCATTTTAGCATTTCACATGTCACTATGTTAGTTGGCTTTTGACTTTTAGCCATAACTTCCCTTTGTAGCACATTAATATGACATTTTGCACAACTACAACATGTTGCACAACAATCTTACATTTCCTGTGAGTGGTAGGGTGATGAAGGTCAGTATTATTGGTCAACAGGTACAATATTTATTAATTATAATGTACTGAAGGGGGGAACCAAAGTGATAGGAAAAGGTATCCTGGAAGCTAAAGACGGAAACGCATCGTATTCCTCTGCCACTGTTTAGTTTACTGTATTATCTAACACTTTCTGCAGTCTAGTTTTAAATGACCAAACTGATGGTGCTTCTGCTACTACTGTTGGAAATCTTTCCATAGTCGAATAGATTTAACCATTAGGAAGTTTCCCTTGCTACTAAGCAAACACCAGTAGGTAACCCTTATAAGCCAGGATGCAACCAAAATAATGATGTTTTATCTGTTCCTCAAGTAGACTTCTATTTTAAATTTAACCTATAAATTGCACCATTTAGGCTGGAAGTAGGTACCAAAGTTTACTGCTCTGTAATGGAATCCAGATTCTACTCAGGTGAGATCATAATTAAGTTAACAAGTTTGCAGGATTGGGGCTGACATCATCCAAAAGACCTGGAAAGAAAGGTCTTTTGGATGTCAGCTTATCATAGAATACTATAGGAACCCTTCAATAATAGCACACAACTATTTAATAAATCTGGAAGGGTTTTATCCTAACACTTTCTAGATTAAAAAAAGATTTTCTCTAAAATCCAAAAACAATTGTGTGTAAATTTAAATCTTATTAAAGAAAAAACTATTTCCAGAAAAGTTCCAAAGACATTTGTTGTTTAATATTGGAAGTGGAAAAACAGGACATGTTTTTGGCTTTGGTAGTGCTGTATTTTTGTCACCAAAAAAAATGGAGTTGAATAAAATGTTTTGAACAGTAGATGGCAGTCAAGAAACTTTCTCTTTAGAGAATGGCTTAGAAATGCATCAAGCAGTGAGGGTTTGTTCTATCAGTTTTTGCAAAGGGACATTGGGAAATAAATTGACAGCTGGCATTTAGTGAAATGTAACAGAGGCATGTTATTTTTAAAATGACCATTGTGTTGCATTTGTTTTTGTTTCCTCTCTTATAGAGCATGGATTTTGCCAGCTCTGAACACATACCAACCATAAAAATGCAGTAATGAGGGGAAAAAAGATAAATGCAACGTGGTCAATGGTCACTCAACACTTTCCCCATTTCCGTAAGGGTGCATAGAGTGCTCTTTGTTCTTTCAGCCTTTCTCCACCCCTGTGAAGTATGCAGATTTTCAAGCCAAAATCATTATTATCCTGGCTGATGACTGTTTTCATCTGAATGGGGCCTGTTGCTGCAAGGTGCTGAGCACCCTTAATTCCCATCCACTTACATGGGGGTTGAGAGACTTCTGCCCCTCCCTATGGGGAAAAAGCCCTTTTTGCTGCAAGTGTATGCTTAGCTCAGAGCTCCCTTTGCCCCTTCCACCCTCTTTAGTGCGCATGGTTTTCTTGGCAAAATGATGAAAATGTGAAATAAGCCCTTCTAATATGTTACAAAGATGCATAGGTTTTGGTTTATACAACAGTAGGGATGAAATTTGCCTCACCTGCGTAAAGTCTGGGCTTTATGCTGGTGAAATGCAGAATGACTGGGGAAGCAAAATCCAACACCTACAGCATAGGGCTTGGGCATGAAGCAAGGCTTGCATCATATCAAGTACTGCATCCTACAGGCTGGGCTGGAATAACACCACTTTTTTGGTCTGCTAGGGACATTGGCTCTGGTTAGGAATGTATAACATGGCCCTTTCACTATCCAAAAAGCTGCCCCTCATGCTGACCTCTGTGTGGCCATCAGGGAAACTTCCCTGGAGAGCACAGGAGTTGCATAGTCTCTTTTGAAGCTGCTCAACCAGCCCTTTACCCTTCCTGTAGTGCTTAGATGGACCCTCTGCACTTGGATGAATTACACCCTATAAGAGATTTTGCGAGTGAACTTGACTGAAAGAGTTTCCTGAGTAACCTTGTACTAGCAGAAGCAGAGTTAATGCTTTATTTTAACACTTCTCAGATTTATAATTTTGAAATGGCTTAGTCTCTTTGTTTCCTTAGTCCCAGAGTACAATATAGTGAACCTGAAATAGTCTTGCCAAATTTGAATTGATTCCATCTGTGTCCAAGACTTATGAGTTTATTGTATTTAAAAATAGAAAGCATGGAATATATTTTCTTTTTCCAACAGTTTGTTCAGCACTCCTTAGTCAGGCAAAATTTCTGTGTGTGTTGAGCAGAGCCCTAAGAAAGTAACATCCCCAAATAAACATAAATATATGAACTATAATTTAAGCCTAGCAGTTGCAAACAGTAAGGACAACAAATTATTTGAAAGGAAAGAAGTGCAAGAAGAGCATTAATGATTAGAACATTAGCATCTGCTCAAGGCAGACTTTGATGTTATAAGCTTAGCTGCTTAAAAGCATAAAACAATGGAATTTGAGCAGAAGGTATCAGTAATAAATAGTGACTGTAGTAAAAAAAAAAAAATTCTGGCAACTTAATTAAATATCTGTGGAGCTGGGGGAAAAAAACAAGCAGAGTTTAAACAGAATTTCATTGTATTTGTTGTCTGCATTCAGGTGTAGGTAACTAATTTTTTTCACTGTGGTTCAGTAAAACACGGTCACTGCCTCAGGGAGCTAATCACAATTTACTAGGGAGAGACAAGTAACATCTGAAAAACACTGCTTTCGATGTTCTGGGTTGCTGCTTCTCCATTCCAGTGTCCATAGGCCTAATTGCCATGTATTGAAGTTAGCAAAAGCAATGATGTCCGGGATATTCTGCTGAGATTGGTCAGTAGAGAGAGAGAGTGATATCCTAAAATGTGAATAAACTTCTCTCAGGCTGAATGATGAGTCCACTTCTTATGCCAAACATAGAGAGCTCTAAATTAGCCACCTGTTTTGTTTCTGGGTCTCTCTGTCTGTAAATGGGAAAGTAAAAATTGTGTATCATTTATTTCACCCCTGAAGAAGGCCACTCAAATATAGATGGTTTTCCTGCCTTTTTTTTATCAGCCTGCAATGAAAGGATATGCACTAGCCCTTTGTTCCTTTGAGATAGCGCCGTATCATCCAAATCATGAAAGCAGTTTGAAAGTTGTCTGCTGTGTTATCCCCCACTGTTCCTCAGCCGTGCCCTCCACCAAAACCATCCTGGTTGTGTTTGCAAATACTTTTGTCCCGTCTAGTAAATCACCTACTGGGTTGATTGTCAACACTGTTTTTCGTCTAAATACTTAATTTTAAAAATACAAAATAGACCAAATGGGAGACAGCTGCCTTCCTAACTCAGTTCCAAAATTTTGTAATCCTGATTCTCTTATAGTATCTCCCTGTGCTCAAATGTCATCTCTTCCAGCCTGGTAATGTAAGCCAACATGGGACATGTGTGAGCACTGTTGCAAAGAAATGATCCATGCTCAAATGAGCAGGATGTTCAGGGAAATGAAAACAAAAATGAAAGTAAAAACAATTATTATTATTATTATTGGAGTAGAGCCTAGAGGTCTTGAGTATTTGGGGGCTCCATGGTGCTGAGCACTGTACAAACTTATAGTAAATGATGACAGTGACCTAATGAAATCTGGGTTGGTGCATGCGTATTTACTATGGAGTAGGTTATGGCTTTGCCACAAGACCTGAGTAAGGGGCAATGTGTAGGTGTGTTGCCTGGGAACAGACCCATTACTTCCTCCTCCGTGTAAGCTCAGTGGTGCTGGCTCGTGTGTTTGGGGGGATGGAGGCATGGGTCTGCCTCTGCCTGTGCAACTGAATGGGAGAGGGAGTAGCAGTCCCAAGGAAGCTGCTTTCCCACTCACGTTATGACCTGTGATATAGGTAACTCATGCGGGGCAGGAGGCACATCTGACATCCCCTTACTTCCCTGCATGGTCACATCCTAGTAATCTAGTCCAGTATCTGTTTTTAACAGATATTCATTTTAATAATCTTTAAGCGTAGTTTATTCCCAGCGCACCCATACACCACGTACAAAAGAGAGCAGCTGCTTTAAAAACATCCGTGCTACATTAAGGTGAAATGTGGACTTATTCCCTTCATTGTTTTAAGTTAAAGTTAATGTTACTAAGTAAATGGGTACATCCCTCACTTCCTGCACATTCCTTTATTTCCACTCATCATCTTTTCTTTATAAAAAGGTCTGCTAATATTTCATGGCATGACCCCATCTAGGAAAACATTTTGAGCATTACTGAGGCAATGGCTTTCTACCAGCGTAGAATGAAGAGGGATTGTCTTTTGATACAAATTGTTGTATTCTATTATTATGAGAATGTGCTAATAGCTGGACGAATGCTTTTCTATTGGCCCTACTAAGACAACTTCTCTCCTGGCACAGATTGTCTTTGATGTAGAAGAAAACCTAGCAAGCTTCATGCAACTTGTTTTGGGGCCACCTAGTGACAATTGGGGTTTAATACACAGAAGTTCTGGGTATTTTGATCTATACGTGACCCCAAAGAAGTAGGTCAGCGATCAGGATAGAGTCTTCCTTCCTCAGATAAAAGAACATAAGAATGGCCATACTAGGTCAGACCAATGGTCCATCTATCCCAGTGTCCTGTCTTTTGACAGTGGCCAGTGCCAGATGCTTCAGAGGGAATGAACAGAACTGGGCAATTAGTGAGCGATCCATCCCCTGTCATACAGTCCCAGCTTCTGGCATC